AAGACGCTCAAGAAGGAGGCGCTGAAGGCCGGCAAGCGCGAGAAGGCGCTGGTGGCGCAGCTGGCCGCCGCGCAGCTCGAACTGCAGATGACCGCGCTGCGCTACCAGAAGAAGTTCACCGAGTACAGCGCGCGCCTCGACTCGCTCAGCCGCTGCGTGGCCGCGCCGTCGGGGGGCAAGGTAGGTTGTTGGTTAGCTCTGCCCCGCGGTGCACCGCCTCCCCCCCACACCCAGCTCCCACCCTGGGCTCCTGCCTCCCTTCTTCCTGGTGACCTCAGGGCCCCCCCCTCCCCACCCCGACCCCCCGTCCTGCGCCAGGGACGCCTGGAGCCTCCTTCCTGGGAGCCTCCCTTCCCTGCCTCCCTCTCCCTTCGCTTGTCCTGTGTATCCCCACAACGCAGGTTGCCCCACCGGAGCTCAAAACCAAGGTCCCTATCGGTTACACGCACTTGATCAAGGGGCAAAATAGAACCAGGGGTGGGGCGAGGCTGCGGGGACTAACAGGAACTCAGAACCGAGTGTTGGAGGAGAAGGGGGGGGGGGTGCAGCTCCAGAGTCAGATGCCTTCAGGGGCTGTGTCTTGGCAGATCCGCTGCGTGATCTCGGGGAGGTGGCTTACCCTTTCTTCAGATCTAAAAGCATGGTGGTCCTCAGGGATGGGACCCGCGGGCTGAACTCTTGTCCCCCTCTGAGATTCCTCAAAGAAGAAAGAAAGGGAGGCCCAGAGCGAGCCGCTGCCACAGGACGCCAGGCAGAGACCCCTGGCTGAAAAGCTGGACTCAGACGTGGGCTTTGGGGGCTCAGTGCATTGGCTGACCTTGAGCAAGCGATGTAACCCCTCTGAAGTTGCCAGCTATGGGCCCTAGGGGTGTCAGACAGGAAAACACAGCCAAACACCCTCCAAGGGATTAATTTGAGGACTTCAGTCAGAAGGGATGAAAGGATCCATGGCCCCAAAGAAGGGGAAAGTATTTATTGAGCGTGAATCTTCTGGAGTTAGAACTGTTCTCCAGCGTGGGTGTTGTTGTTATCGTTTATGCAAACAAGCTGGGGTTGATCTTGGAGCTTAATCGCCACAGGTTCAAGGGTGCCTCAGTTTCTCTAAATCTAAAAGACTGTTTCCTTCCGGGAGAGAAGGAATCCTGCCAGACTGAGAGTAAACGCTCAACCTGTGTAACCTGCAATTATTGTAAGGATCCCTTCCTGAGCCTGTCCCTTCCCTCTGAGGTCTTTGTAATTATGACAACTTCGACTTTGCTCCAGACCCTGTGCTCAGCTCTTCCCAGACATTTCTCTCTTCATCCAGCAAGGGAAGTCTGATGCTTCTCATGTTGCAGAGGAAGAAACTGACAGTTACCCAGGGGCAGTCTTGAGCTTGCTTGGGTCACTTCTTTTAGGTGTCAAAAGTGGGCTTTAACCCCACATATGTGACTGACTCATTATCCCAAGCCTTTAACCATGTTGCATTGCCTCTCAGTATAACCATAAACTGCCAGTTATTCTGTATTTGGTAAGAACCAACCACACTGTAGGAAGTATTTTGCTTGGGTTATCTGTTTACTCCTTGGAGATGAGAAAACTCACTCAGGCAGATTATATAACCTGTCCAAACTCAGTGACTCAGGGAAAAGAGCTGGATTCAGATTCTACCTCAGATTGTAGGTAGGTTCAGCTTTAATCCTGGATTGTATTGACATTTGGAGCTAAGTCCTTGTTGTGTGGATGCTATTCAGGGCATCTCTTTGTTGTGTATATTGGGGAGGGGGGAACGGATGTCTGTCCTGTGTACTGTAGTATATTAGCCTCTACCTACAAGATGCTGGCAGACCTCCCTTCCAAATTTTAACCATCAAAAGTGTTTCCCAATATTGTCCTCTGGGGGACAACATCACCCAAATTTGAGACTGGTTTCCCTAATTGCAAGAGCCACGTTTTCAACAGCTGGGTGCTTTTGCCTCCTTCCTGGGGAGCCTTTCCCCCCCCCACTGGTTTCCCTGCTCCAGATGGCCTGGCAGAGAGGGGAACGTATTTGCCCAAAGGGGCCCCAGGGGCCTGTGTCTGCTCTGCTTCTCCCTCCCCTCCCCCAGCCTCCCTCTCCATGCATGCACACCAGGCCTGCAAGTTTTCCAATCTTCTCCCTTCCTGGCCCCTGGCCTGTCTGTCAGCTGTAGCCTCAGCAGCTGGCCAGCTCTGGGAGAAGGGCAAATATTTACAGCTCCGTGGTTTGCCCAGGACCGCACAGGCGCACAAAGGACTGGTGTGAGCCTAGAGTCACCCAAACAGAGGGCAGAGCATGGTTTCCTATCAGGCGCCAGGTTTGGGATGCAGGAGTTCCCTACTTTCCCCTGTTTATGCTGTCATCTGGATTTCCTGCTTTGTTTTCCAAGTGACCCTTGTTTATAAATAAGCCATTCACTCCCTCAGAGTTTATACATCATTCATTGTTGAGCTAGTTTATTATTTCTTCTTGCCTTTCTGTTTTCTTTCTGGAATGTTTGGGTAAATGCTCTCTTAGAATCAAAAAATGTGATACTTGAGTCAAAACTTTGGTGGGTATTTTGAAGCGTATTTGGGTAATGAGGTAGAAAATAGAAAATCAAGGTCATTGAATTTAGAGACAAGCTAGATTTTGAATGTATAGGGAAATGTTGCTTGTGGAGTTGGAAACCTACTTGGAACTTTCATGAACCTCTGTGTCCATCGGGTGATAGCCAGGGATGGCCTGGCCAGAAAGCTGCCCTAGATAATTTCTGTGTCTTCACGCCCTGGTCTAGGTCTTCTGGAAGCTCGTTCTCCTTGTCCTGAATTAACTCAGTCTACCCTCCTCTTGCATTAGCCATAAAAACCCTCCCAGTGGAAGCTGTTTAAAACTTGTCTATTTCATTGGGCCAACTTTTCTGACCCTGCTAGGTCCTGTTTCCTCTTTTTCGAGATGCAGAAGGATTTATATTGCCTCTTGTGGACAACACTTACTTCATTTTGTTGTTGATGTTGTTTCTAAGTCTTGAGATTTGCTTCTCTATCACAAGCTGAAGTTGCTAAGAACCACTCAGTGGATTTTCAGTACCAGCTCAGCAGCTCAAACTTGCTCCAGGCCTGACCTGGCATTCTGGAAGTTGTCTTGGCTTTCTGTTTCTTGACACCTGTGGAGGGCTCAGGGTTTGACAGTGGTGTACCTGCACAGACATGGTTTGCTCTGTGTAAAATGTGAGCTACCCCAGTGCTTCTCAAACCTTAACAGGATCAGAAGCAGGGGAGAGCTTGTTAAAACCCCACATTCCTGAATCTCACCCCTGGAGATTCTTGTTCCAGTGAGGGCTGGTGTGGAAGCTGAAATTTTGCATTTCTAAAGAGTTTCTTTATGATCAATACCGGTCTGTTGAGAAGCTGCTAAGCTGAGTAGACATTCAGGCTCAAGGACAAACCTCTAGACCAAAATAAGCATTGGTCTTTTCTTACAATTTAATTGGTCATTGTTTTTCCAGGGTTGGGGATTGAACCAGAAGTCTCACATTTAGGCAAGTGTTGTCTACCACTGAGCTACAATCTCCAGTCTGATTTTTACTATTTGAAGGGGTACCAGTGTTGAAGATTAGACCCAGAACCTTTCATATGCTAGATGTACCACTGAGCTGCATCGCGAGCCCTCTGATCATTATCTAAATAATCCCTTCCTAAATATTGTAAGACTTTGATAATGTTTTTTTTTCAAATTCTTTATTGTGATTAAATGATTACATAATTTCCCAAATTTCACAGTATTGTGGGATAGTGATGCTTAGTTAAAGTCACAAACACATTCTAACTTTCATGGGGCAAATTGTCTATCGTGGTCTATAACATTTATGAGTTCTATGAGCTTTGACAATACAGTTATTTCTTCCACATCAGGTGATATGTACATTTCTTTTGTTTTGCGTAGCATCAGCTGTTTCTTTTTCCCACTTGTTCCCTCCCTCCCATCGCTGCCATTGAGTTTCTTAGTTCATTTTGATCAATATCCAGTGCAGCTGATGGGTCCTGCTGTTGTATGTTTTTCCCTGATTCCCTCTAGTTCTGTGTCCTCCTTCTGGTTTCCCTCCGGTGTACACATATATACTATATATGTGATCAGCAGCATGGGGTTATTTAATAGTGATTCGACCAGATGAGTGGAAGTCCTTTGTTTCTTAAGCCTTGTTAACTTTGTTGTATCACCTTACGTTTTGGATTTAACATCCACTTATCAGAGAGACTTGATAATGGTTTAAAACCTGTATCAGCCACAGTTAAAGGGCAGATAACCATGGGCTAGAGACTCAGTTCTAACCTAGCCACAACTGGGCTGCCTTACCAATGGCTTGTCATATATAAGTGATAACAGATTTGCTCCCAGCCTCAATTTCCCTCCCTAGTTTTATCCACCTCTGAGAGCAAAAGCATGCCAGAACAAAAATTTCCTTTGCTTTCTGGGAAAGGAGACATTGTAGGTAAAACTTTCTTTGGAATTGCAGAGAAACTTGAAAGCCCCATCCTTATATCTTTTGTCCTTTGATTTCCCCTCCCCCATATTTGTGTCCATTCTTAATTGCTAAATCCTATAGGTTGTCTTTCCTAAGTATGTCTTGAGTTTGTTCATGTTTTCTGGCTCATTCACATGATCACCTTGATCTGAACTGTATTTCTTCACCTCAGCATAGTTGACTGGTTGATACTTGGTTGTGTGGTGGTGGTGGCACTGGTAAAGAGGAAAGGTAGTTTTATATATCATAGGATGTCTAGCCACCTATCTTTGTATAGTGGGAAGTAGCACTCTTCCAGCCATGAAGATAAAAGACATCTCCAGATGTTGCAGGGGCAGACCTGATCTTGGTGTCAGCTATCATCTCTTGCCTGAACTACAGCTCTCTCCTTCACATGTGGAGCACCAGGAATAGTTTATTAGAAATGTAAAAGTGACCTCACTCCCCATCCTTAAGCCCTTTCTTGACTTCTAGTATGTCTTGAGTGGCCATCAGGTCCAGCATGCTGGCTTCTACCTGCCTGTGCTCTTCTACCCTTTATTCTATTTTCCTGAGGCTTCCTGCCTATACCTCCCTGCTTTCTTCCAGCCTCTGACTGGGCATTTGCACTTCCCCTTTCCTATACCTGGAAGAGCCCTTCCAAGCAATCTTCACTAGTTAACCTGCAAGTTTTCTGCC